TAAGGAGGATAGATTATTGTGGAAGGAGGAACAAAATGATAACTATAATGTGCGGCCGGGATACAGGGTGTGGAGGAATGCTAAGAAGAACTCTTCTAATATAAATACTAATGTAAATTGGAATAGTATTTAGAATATTAAAGCATCTGCTAGAGTGAAACATCTCTTGTGGAGAACTTGTCAAGATTGTTTTCCTACCCATATATGGCTTAGGCAACATCATGTCTAGTGCACGGGAGCTTGTCTGTTTTGCGGTAATAATGATGAGTATGACTGGCATGTTTTCTTCGAGTGCCCGAATATGTACACTTGTTGGAATACTACAGGTTTGAGCAATATTATTGATCATAGAACTTACTCTTTTCATGATGTAAAATCGCTCATTCTTGATATTTGCAATACGGAAGATATGAATACTGCGGGTAAAGTTGCAGTTGCGATTGAGGCAATGTGGAAAAATAGGAATGATCTTATTTGGAATGATGAGCATGAAGATGGATCCAAAATTGGTTGGATTGCATATCATAAATGGAGGGAGTGGTTTTCGGCGCAACAAGTTCATGATAATAATAGTGGGCAACAACAAAGTCTTCATTGGAATCTGCCTCCTAATGGGTGGATTAAGTGCAACTTGGACGCGGGTTTTAATAATAGTAGAGGCACAACATATAGAGGTTGGTTCCTTAGAGGTGAGTTCGGTAACTTTATCACAACAGAGATGGCGTGGGATCCAGATAACCTTTCGGTTCTTAAAGCGGAAGCTTTAGTCCTCAAGGAAGCTATTCAAAGTGTTACTTCTTTAAATCTTGATCGAGTTATCTTTGAAATTGACTCTCTTAGAGTGGTACAAGCTTTTCAATCAGTTATTGTAGGAATCTCCATTTTATTCTATAATTAGTGATATCAAGTTGTTACTAAATATTTTTTCCAACTTTGAAGTTAAGTTTGTTAAATGTCAAGCGAATATGATTGTCCATTCGTTAGCAAAGACAACCAATTCTTGGGCTAGACGTAGTGTTATTCATGTAATTCCCCTTTGTATTGAACTTTTGATTATGAATGAGAAATCGTAATTTTGCTTTGTTAAAAAAAACAAAGAACACTATAGATCAATTTATGCCGTCAGAAAATTCAATTACAAAAATATTTGGTGTTTTTTATGTACATTTAAGTTAAAACGTAACATCCTTAAAAGAAAATTTTTTCCCACTTTTATGATGTGACTTACACCTATGAAAATTTGAAATTCCCTTTAGGTATTTTCAGAGATTCATCTCAAGATGCACTTTAAATTACCCCCATCTTTTGTAAATCAAGCAGTCACATTTTTTTACGTCAAAAATTAATCTAAAGATGCATCTCTGAAAATATCCATGAGTACATTTTAAGTTATTTAAACATTATTTCGAATATGCATATCCGAAAACTTTCATGCATACATTTTGGGCACAAAAAAAGGTTAATACAAAGATGCATCTGCGGAGACACCCTAAAACACATATGGAGATGCATCTCTTAATTATATTTTGTCTAAATGAGAGAAGCTCATCCATTTGCGCTTATTTTGTGGGAAAGCAGTGCGTCCAGAGAGATGTGTCTCTAAAAATTGGGGACAATTTTTTACTTTTAATCAAGAGTTAGGGAGAACCTATAGAGGTCGGAAAAAATTCCCCATTGAGGATGAGAATAGATTGGGCCGAGTTAGGCTTTGTCAAGCTTAAGCTTGGTCTAAAAAAAATCAAAACCTAAGTCTGACCTGCAATATATCATAGGTTTATTTTTTAGTCTAGCCTACTTAAAAAGTCTATATCATTTGAACATATGTAAATAAGAAATTCAACTAATATTTAAATAGACTAAAGAATCAAAAGTGCAATTAAATTAAATATTTGTTTGCATTGACTTATCTGAGTTTACCTAATAACATAAGTTTTGTGAGACGATTTGTTTAAGAGAATTTATGAAAATACCTTATGAAATTATTCATAAAATTTCTTTCAACTTATTTTCACAAGTTCTTTAAAATAACTAAGTTTTACTTTTGTATTTTAATATAAGTATAAAATACAATTTAAAAAGTGTAAATTCATTCATAATTATTAACATAGGCTTATAAGAATTTTTGTATGGCACGTGGTCTAATCTATTTAACTAAAGATGATTTTTTAATACACACTACAAAATTGAAAAATACCTTATGAAAATCCAAAATTACCCATTAGATTCCAAAAATACATTTTCAAATACATCATTTTTACAACAAAATACGCATTAGTTGAGAGTCATTGTAGATTTATTTATAAACGAGAAAAAAAATACAAAAAATATACTTTCCGAGAAAATCGAAAAATTTACTTTCGTATTTGTATGTTGATATATATGTCATTTTGCTTTTAATTAAAATTTTCTAGAAATACACCCTTTTTACAATAAAACTTATAGAAGTTGTTCAACCTTCAGAACCTAGTAATGATATTTGTTTGAGATTCGTTGTTTAATTTTGAAACAATCATATGTAGGTTTTTTATTCATTTAGAAATGACATAATACAAAACATAGCTAATAGAACAAAAAACAGTATAAAATTTACACATTCTCTACAAAAAAAAAACATTAAACTTTTTTGAAAATATATTTTTGATTTTTGAAAATGTATTTTCGAAATAAATTTAGTTATAAAATTAAAGTGTTGTTCAAAAACGAATGGATTGTGTATGTTAAAGATGCATTTGAAAATATATTTTCAGAAAATAAAGATATTTTTATATTTTCTTGCAATAAACTAGAAAAATATGTGGTGCATTAAAAAATCCTTTTGACTAAATAGGCTTATTAAAAGCCTAGGTTTTTTCTATCAAAAAAAAATTAGTATGACCTTGACATATGTAAACTAGATTGTAGGATCCTGTCCCCTATCCAACACCCCTTATTGAAAAAGTAGCCATTTTCTTTTCTCACTCTTATGATATGACTCACATCTTCGAAAACTCGAAATTGTCCTAAAAAATTTTGAAAATGCATTTTCCGACGCACATTATATCACATCATCTTTTGTAAATCAAGCAATCACTCTATTTTGACCAAAAATTTAATTTGAAAATGCATCTCTGAATTAATTTTTTAGTGCATTTTTAACTATTTTAACGCAATCACTCTATTTTTTTTCCAAAATTTAATTTGGAGATGCATCTTCAAAAACATTCTTAAGTACATTTTTAACCATTTAAATGTATGTATTTTATATATTATGAGGTGTTTTCATGGAGATGCATCTCCGAAAATATCCCAATAAATTTTCGCTCAATCACTTACGTTTATTTTCAAGAACTGAATATATTTTTGACTTTTCACCAAATATTTAAAAGAATCTATAAGAGTGAAAAAAGAAATTACCAAAAAATAACATCAGAGTTTATACTTTGTAGACATCAATAAGTCGATAGAGGACGGTGGAAGGGAATGGAGGATAGTCTCCACATTACATATAAAGTAATTTTTTTTGTCAAATTACTGGTTGGTTTGTTATAAATTAAAAAAAAATTATATTTTTTATAATTTTTTTAAATATTAAAAGTTTTTTTAAATTTATTTTTTTATAAATTGAAAAGATAATTTTAACATCTAACATAATATTGAAATTAAAAGAGTTGAAATTACAATTTTTAAAAAATATATATTTTTTAAAATTAATTTTTATGAAAAATTATTTAAAATAACTTTAAATTTAAGTGCTTTTTTAAAATTTTAATATAAAAAAAAGTTATGCCAAAAGATGAATTTCTTTAAAATAACATTTTTTTTAAAAATAATTATTTAGATTAATTTTTAATTAAATTTCTTTTTTTAAAAATTTGTAAATCTTTTTTATGAAAAATATTTAACGCTGAAATTTTTTTTAAAAAAAGCGTTAGAAAAAACTCAATTATTTTAAAGGAGAACTTTTGGAGGATTTAAATAGCTTTAAAATCTCTCCAAATCATTTCCTCTGTTTATATTAAAAAGTAAATATTAGATTCGAGTATTTCAAACTCCAAAGCTAGGTCATCCAATCTAAACAAGTGAAACGAAACAAGTTTAATAGTCACAATTAACACAAAAAAGAAACTTTGCACAGTCACTCCCACCGACATTCTAAATATGTTTCATGTATAATTCATCATCATATTCATCGGTAGTGGAGTCATAAATTTTAGATAATCTGAGCAAAATTTTACATCATATTTTTATTAATTTTGTATCCTGTTTTTATTAATTTTGTCATTATTTTTATTAATTTTGTACCATATTTATACTAATTTTGTCTTTGATTTTATTAATTTTGTCCTTGATTTTATCTAAAAATCAACTATCAGATCGGAGGAAATACAAAAAAAAATAAGGGTTGAACTTAGTTGCGTGCCGGATTAAATACAAAAATTAATACTCTTTCTGATCTTTATTATAAGAGAAAGTTCACTTTTTTACTCTCATTCAATTACTAATATATCTAATTCATATATAAACTAAATACATTAATCATTCTATGAATCTAAAAATTGGACTTTCTCTTATAATAAAAACGGGAGTATTTGTATTCAACTGAATTATCAATCTCAGGCAGCCTCCCTAAAGTCATTTATATCACTGGATCATTTTGTAATTTGCAAAAAAGTTAAGTCCGATTGTGCTTTCGGAGTTACATCCGAACAAACTTTTCTCAGATTGTATATGCCATAGAATCTACAAGAATCCTCAAGCTTGAGATGTAAAACCAATTCTTTTTTTGGAAGCCATAAATAACAACAATCCTATATGCCAACTCAATCGATATCTAGATATAAAATGGAGTGGAAGAGAGAGTAAACATGCATCAAGGTAAATGCCTGCCGAGAAGGGCAATATCCAAAACAAGTATATAGTTTAATTGTATTGTGGAGAAAGAAATGCAAATTTCTGTCAAAGTTCAAAGGATTAACTTCATAGAAATACTAGTACCAACATAAGCAAAAAGAAAAATAAACCTACTTTTTGACGGATTTCTTTTTTGCAGTCACATTCAGAGATGGTTGTGGCTTGGGATGTTTTTCCGCCTCACTTGGATCCAACCACTTAAGAGGATGTTTGTTGAAAAATGGCCAATTTGGAAGAGTAACTAATGTGGTGACAACTACACCACCAGCATATGTGAGAATCATTGTTTGGAAAGAAGCCAGGAGATATCCAGCTCCAAATGCAATCACAGCAAATGCAAGCAGCATTATCTGCATTAGTTGCTCTGCTAGCTTTTGCCCTTCCCAATCCATCTAATCAACCAATCAAGAGAAAACACTCAATCACTAAGAAATGATGCCAAAAACATTATTACTTCACAAAAACATCTAATCAAGATCAAACTGACAGCGTGCAAAATCTGACTGCAGCGGATTCAATTTTCTCAAACAGTCTTACTAGTGGTTACACAAATAAATAATTTTAAATAATTCAATTCAAACTTATGACTAAAGTGACCAGCCTTTACAATTTCAAGAACTAAAAAACCCTTATTTGCTCATATAGATCTATAGTGGCGTTATTATAACTATACTCATACAAAATCAACTCAAAATTGAAAATTAGTCTCCCTAAAAAACTCGTTGCAAAAGCGAAGTCAACCGGGAATTGCAATGGAAATTATATATATGATTGGGAATTGTGCAATTATTGATGGGAGATTATGGAAATCGCATGAAAAAGAGTGGAATGGGTGGGAAGGTGTTAGATCTAACGAAGATGAAAAATGAGAGGAAGAAGAAGGAAATACCTGAAAGCTGTTGAATCGATGTGAGGAAGAAGGGGGAGTGACTTGTGACTTGTGACTGCGAAATGAGGCGGTTTTTTTAACTCAGCTTTTGTATCATTTCTCTAACATTATTACAATTCGAGAAAAAAAAAGTACACGTATTGTTTTTACTAACTACCTATTAAAAATAAACACGTGGGCTACTATTTCACTAGACCTTTACGCTTTTGTTATTAAGAAATAAATATATTTTTTAAAAGGTGAAATGAAGATTCCGATAATTTAACATGTCATTCTAAAATTATATATTGCACTCTCTCAATTTTTTTATTCTTACTACTCAATTTTTTGATACATTTCTGCAAAAAAAAATCGATGCCATAAATTTTTGATATATTAGAAATTTTTATTAATTTGAAATTTTCGATAGTATTAAAAATATAGTTTTTTAAACGGCTGAGATTTTGCCAACATATTTGGATGGTTCTGATTGCACCGACACATTTGTGTGGTATAAAATGCATCACTATTTACATAAATAGAGGCATCTTCTATAGAGAAGATACATCTCAAAAAAAATGTTTCTTCTTCAATTTCTGATTAAGGTAGAAGTCTATTATAACGATAATAACCCTCATGTTGAATTCAAGCTTTCAGATGGCTCTGAATCCTTTGTCACCTTGAAAGAAATGTTGGATAATTTGATGTCTGATTAAGATAACATAAGGTTGACAAAAATAGAGTTTCAGGAGGATTGGAATTATACAAATGAAAGGGTGAAATACAACCTAATCGAGTTGAAGAATGATGAAGATGTGAAGGTCGTGTGGAAATTATTTCATCGTAGGATAACTAAAGGTCCGATCGAGTTGGATGCGCGAATCTGAAGATCCGTCGATGACATAATGAAGTGTCTGAAACATCCAGAATCTTCCGGAAGTGTCTAGCTAGGTTTTCTTGTTTTGTTGTTTTTGATTTATGTTTGTTGTACTGTTTTATGTCTGTTGTTTTTGGTTTATGTTTGTTGTACTGTTTTATGTTTGTTGTAAAAAAATACAATAAATAAGATGTTTGTTTGTCACAAAATATATATATTATACAACCAAAATAAAATAGATCTACATAGGCCCTTCACGGGCTACATCGACTAACCTAGCTAAACCTCTATAAATCTTACCATCTGAGTTTACTAAATCCATGAAACTGTCAGCATGAACGAAAATAAATTGGAGTCGGATGTCCTGATCTCCTGCAGGTGGTGGAGGTGGTGGTGGTGGTGGCTCGGTAGATGGGCTAGCACCATAAGGCCTCGGAACATCAACTGTTGCAACCGGTGGTATGACCTGAGGATGCAACACACTTTGAAACCATCCATGTATTCATCCTCGCACTGCTCAGGCTGCTAAACCTTGACGACTGTATCCATGATCTCACGGGAAAGATGAGGATGTGACTCTAAAACCATCTAGCAATCCCACCAGATGAAGACTCTAGAACTGGATGATGAATGTCCTATACATAACCATATTGGCGTAGACACCTCTCAGGCAAGTGTCTAATCGCATGGCTATCACATATAATATGCCCTGAATATAAAGTGGACACCTCAAATGGATGATAAAGTAGATACCTCGCCTTGTCATATCCTATACGCGACATGGTCTGCAAATCTTGTAAGCACGGACTTGTCTAAAGGTCCTCCAGGAAATCTTCCATCAGTGTGTACTGATGACTCTGTAGACGTATGAGTCGTGGTGTCTGTATTAACAGGGGACATCTCATCAACTCGCTCAGCAACAACCTCCTGCTCAGGCTCATGCACCACAAGCTCCACAATAGGAGCATGAGTTTGTACCTCATCAGCTACCGACTCCACAATAGAAGCAGGAGCTTGTACCTTCTCAGTAGAAGCAGGAGCCTGCACCTCTGTAGTAGGAGACTGTACCTCCTCAATGGATACTCTATGACCCTGGCGACAGGGTGTGCGGAATTGTACATTCTGCCCATCCATCTATTTTCAGTGAGAATCGGTCGGAGGATGACGTCCAGCCCGTAGCTCTGAAGTATGTGCCTCGTCAGCACAGGTTTTAACATTAAGTCTGTCAGTGGTCCGTCCCGCAATGGAACCATCTATGCCCCTGGTTCTCACTGCGAAATAAGAAAATATCAGGAAAATAAAAAATACTAGAAATTTCTAAATTTCTGAGAATTTTTCAAAAAAATTGAAATACCGGAAATTTCTAATTTCCGGTACTGTGTGACACATCAGAAATTTCAAAAATTTTGGTATAACTGTTAAATGAAAATATCGGATATTTTAAAATTTATGATACGAAAATACCAGATATTTTGAAATTTCTGGTACAAAGTACCAGAAATTTCACGAAAATACTGTAAATTCTTACTATTTCGCAAATTTTCGGTAGCGCCTTCGAAATTTCTGGTACCCGCCCAAAAATTTAAATATTCTGGTTGTTCACGAGAATCTGAAATTTGTGGTGAATGATTTGGATCTAGGTAATTTGGTCTTTCCATACCCCTTAGAGGTGCCATGTATAATACGAGGGGTGTCAAGTTAATTTCTCCATAATTTCCCCTGCAATATAAGTGGGTTTTGATTTACCTCCTTTAATATTTATTTATTGAAATATCTTATAAAATTCTAAAACACTAAGTCTTTTGCCGCCTAAGTAGAAAATTTATCCTCTTTAAATTTTTTTTATTTACTTCCCTAGTTTTTACACGCTTAGGGGTGGGTACCTAAAAAATACATAAAATAATAAATAAATAAAATTAAAGACGATAAATCAAAATCCACTTATATTACAGGAGAAATTATGTATTTAACCCTTTTTAAAATTAAAAAAAAAACATTAATCCTCATTTACTATTTTATGTTAATATTTTTAGTTAAAGTTTAATTGAAATGCATTTACAATATAAAAAATTTATATTGTCAATTAATTATAATTGTTAAAATTTTAATATGTATTTATTTTTGTTTAACTATATTTAAAATATTATTTATAAATAATTATGATGTATCGATGATCTAAAACCTTTTACACTCATAATATATATATATATATATATATATATATATATATATATATATATATATATATATATATATATATATATATATATATATATATATATATATATATATATATATATATATATATATATATATATATATATATATATATATATATATATATATATATATATATATATATATATATATATATATATATATATATATATATATATATATATATTGTTGTACCCCAAAATTTGCCCTCGCGCTTTTCCACAAGAAATCTCAGCTTCAAACATTTCCTGACTTCTCAAACTGACTCAAGAATCGTACAAACGGACCTTTCTTGACAGTCAAGCAAAACTAGGGTTTTTACTGATTTTCAGAACTCTGAATTGTTTCATACAGTGGGCTTAGGGTTTGATTGATTTTTGGTTCAATTTTGATCAAGCGAGCGTGATTTGGCATTTAATCAGGAATTAGGGTTTCATGGGCATATTCTCAGAAGAATTTAAATTCCACAGCACTTTGCGGTTTATTTCAAGATTCAGATTAAAATTCGCGTTATCTTGGTTTAATCAGCAAAAGAGACATTGATTTTGAATTCAGTACGTTTTGATTGGGCCAGTCATACACCAAATGCAGTATTGGATTCACAGTGTTTGTGTATTTGATCAGTCTATTTGGATCGATCGCTGCTTTGCTTTGAATGTGAGATAAGACAGGTTTATTGGACCAATGTTGTTTTATTTTAGTTATTTATTATTCTGAAACTAAAATGATTGAATTTATTTTTCAATTGTTTTAATTCTAAGAATTTTAAATAAATAAACAGATAATAAGGAAATTAGAATTAATTGGATAATTTGAATTTTTATTGATATTTGAATTATTTACAAATTGTTGTTACAAACAATAATTTACATTTAATTTAAATATTACATAGAATGAAAAACTATCCTATTTTCTAAAATACTCTTCGTTCTTCACTCCGCTCCGGCATTCCATTTTTCATCTGCAAAAAGAAACAAGAAAAGTCAAAAGCAGTTAATTGGAAAAGACAGTTAAATTGCTCATCATTAGGGGCCACTGACTGGGATCAGTTGACCCTCTCTGCAAATCACGGGATTTCTCCCGGTTCACAGAGAGGGAAGATTATTTTTATTTCATGAATGTAAATGCAAATGCATAAGTCAATTTTCAAATCTAAACTGAAAAAGTTCAATCCAAACTTCCCATTCAAAACTAAACTGAAAGTCCAATGCCAAAGAAAATCAAGAAAGTGCTCAAAGCTGTCATGGAAAGATTTTTGCCAAGATATCAAATGCAAAGTCAGACACAAATTGTCAAAAGAGAGATAAAGGAGATGCAGTAGTGTATTATGCAAGTGATCTTTTCATCATTTCCCACAGGGCCCCTTCAGAAAAGTACAAATAAAAATCATATAAAATTTTCAAACTGTACTTTAGAGAGAGAGTAAAGAGAGATAAAGCAGTTCAGGTTAGGCATAGCAGTTCAGCAGCAGGCCAAGACAGTAAGGAAGACAGCAGAAAAAGATATACAAGTCTACAAGTCCACAAGCTCAGTACAGCAGACAGTAGAGGGTGAAATAGAAAAGGAAATGTACAAGACAGTTCAACATAGGCACAGTTCAATAGCAGCACAGCAGACAGTAGGCAAGTCAAAGAAAAGATATACAAAATCAAAGAGACAAAAACTGAGTTAAGCAAGATAGCAGTTCACAGGATAAAGGAGAAATATACAAACTCAGTTTCAAAAGCAGCATAGCAGGATAGGAAGGAAGAGGGGAGAGACCAAACTGAGTTCACAAAATATTATCTAACCAATGCCATAACCATATCCAAAACAACACAACAAAAACTCCACATGCTGCAAACCATAACCAAAAAACCTGCATCCTCCTCAAAAACACCCCAAACCTGTCTCAACCTTTATACACACAAAAAACCTGATAGAACCAGAATCACAAACACCATTACTGTCATCAAAAACCATTACGCTGTCTCAACCTTTATACACACAAAAACTGATATCCAAACTCAAGCCTCAACCTTCATGCCAAACATACAAACCTGATATCCAAACTTGCCTCACCATAACATACTGAACCAAGCACATACAAGCTAAAGTCTCAAACCATGCTAAGTTACTGTCAACACCAAGCCTCAGAAGTTGAGCTTCATCATGGGCAAAACAGAAAGGCATCAGGGGCTTCATCATAAACATCTCAGTAAGGCAACAACAAGAAGCAATATCAACATAGTCAGGGCAACGTAGGCAACCTAGACCCTCAGACCTTTTGAGGTCATCATAGGGTGATACGAGAAAATATACGAACTCAAAGGCAAAACATTTGAGGCCACAGTTCTAGGCAAGCAAAAGGGCAAGCACACAAGCAAATCATCCCAAGGCAACAACACGAAGGCAACAAGAAGAAAGCTAGTCAAAAAATCGTTTCAACAGTAGCAAACTCAAAAGGCAACTCAGAGAGCCTCAGAAGCAAGCTTCATCATGGGCAAGCACATAGGCAAATCAGAAGAACGAAAGTGAAACAAATCATAAGCATCAGTGACATAAAGAAGAAGAAGATAAAGAGGCGAATTAGGGTTTTCAAGCAAATCCAGCGTACATCATCAAACCCTAGAAACCTAAGAAAAGAACGAAGATACCAGGAAAAATCAGAAGCGTAGCAAGCATCTCCCTTCGCCGCTTCGGCCGCCTGAACGCTACTTCTCCACCTTCCCTCCACCTCCAAATATCAGGTAGTATAATCCTCGCCCCCTATCTCTACTCCTTCACCTCAAAAAATGAAAAGAAAATACTTAAAACTCAAATCAAACATGCAAATTTGTAAAAAGACAAAAGATAAGAGCATAAGGCATTAAAACGAACCAGGAATCAAGGATGCTAGGCTCATGTCTTGGAGGGAAAGAAGGCATTGAAACGCGTTGGTGGCCGGAGGACGCCCAAGGAATTGCTAATCGGAGAAGACGAACCCAACGCACGCCGCTGCTGACGAACCCTAATTTCGTTCCCAACTGAACCATTTGCCTAAACCCTAGTTCGTTCAGAATCCAACCATTGGGCTTAACCCGTTCATACTTCCCTGAAGCCCATTTAAAAATGCCTTTCTTCTTTTTCTTTACAACATTAAACACTAACTATTACATTAAACACTAACTATTCTTTTCATTTTTATAAAAGCAATACTTTATTATATAAAACACTAACCATTCTTTTTATTTTTATAAGAGCAACATTTTTTATATATAAAACACTAGCCATTCTTTTATTTTATAAAAGCAATATTTTATTCCTTGAAAAAATACTAACTTAATTATCATAAGGTTAAGACATTTTTTAGACAATATATTTTGTGCATACATTTTAAAACATTGATTTGTACATATTATACATTTTTATACATAATTAAAATTGAAACTTTTTAATTAATTAACATTCTTTTTTCATACATGACAATTCAATACATTTTTCTAATATTGAAATTCATAAACATTTTGACTAAAATACTCTTTTTAATTAAAACTTAACATTTAAACAAAACACTTCTCTTCTTTGTACATAAACATACGAGAATCAAAAATACAGATTAAAACGTATATCTAGGTCAAAACCCTAATACCGCTCAACTTCACATCTCGCATTTGTACATAATTACACATACACAATTCACATACATATACACTTGTACATTTACACGACACATTGCCCTACACACACTTTATCTTATATTTGTATATCTGATATTCATTTTGATCGCACATTCGATTTGGTTGTAAAATATTGGGTACTATAAGTCTCATCCCCTTGTACATTTATACCCCCACTCCCAGACATTATTTTGTAATAGCGTAGATTTACATTCCGCAATTTACAGCTTTCCAATTATACCATGGTTAGACCTAGGGTTTGTATGTACATAAAATCAAACGTTAGATAACCTAATACAAGACAAATGCATGTAATCAATACACAATCACACTTGCACCCCCTAGGGTAATCCCACATGTTGCCTTCCAAAATGGGCCATGCTTGCACGTCGAATGTCTTTGGCAAAACGATATCAAATGATCATAAGCCCCTCGATGACGCTTTCGAAAGTTGCCTAAACGGAACGATCATAGTCCCTTCAAAACAATTTGCCAAAGACACTTGGCATCATTGCATTCATGGTCTATGCGATGACCCGTGCCCGTCCCGAAATAAACTTCCTAAACGCAAGATTGCCCATCAATTTCAATGGTGGAACAAAATTGTTAAAAGGGGTTAAAACATGACAAAAAACCTTTGAGTACAATAGGGTAGACATAACTCTTAGTTACTTGAGATCAAACTTGCAAAAACACTTGCCTTCTTTTCAAAAACCACAATCCACAACACTTTCAAACAAACTCTCAAAAACATTTGAAAACATCTTTTCGAAAAGATTCACACTTTTGTAAAACACTCAAACACGAGTCAAATACATTAGTTGCCTAAAACAAGGCATCTTTTTCTAAAAACATTTTCAAAAAGCGCCCACACACACACCATTTTCAAAGCAATCGAAAAACAAGGCAAGTGATCTAAAAAACCAAGTAACTAAGAGCCCATGGATAACCATGGATGAAAAGGGTGCTAATACCTTCCCTTTTCATAATCTACCCCCCGAACCCACGAAATATCTCAAAAGGTTTTTTGCTGTGCTTTTTAACCTTTCCTTTAGGATAAAATAAAAAGTCGGTGGCGACTCTTGCTAACCGCACAAGTGCGAATACGAACGCAAAACACTAGTCAGTTCTCCCACCGTATCACAGAACTGGCGACTCTGCTGGGGATAATTAAAAGTGGGGTTACCTTAGGGTTTAGATCACTTTTGTTTTCAATTGATTGCTTTGTTTGCTTTTACATTTGTGGGCATTGTATCGGAGTTTTATAGATCCTAACCCGGATCTGGGGAAACCCTTTTAGGTAGCAACAAGGCTGTGAGGGAACTGTGCGGGGTATACCGACATGGTTGAAGCAGTCTGCTACGTTGATGTGGCACTTTGGTGTGTACCGGTAACCCTTGAGTTCAGTCAAGGAGAGTACGGGGCCGCCGCGTGGTGTCGCGAAGCATCAACTGACCTTAGAACCTTAATTGACCATCTTGGCCTCTTTAGGGTAGTGAGATGACTACTTTGGTGTACTCCGAAGTCGGTCGATACTCGATACTACACTCAATTGAGGGTTGTTTTCTTGGGATATTTTGATCGCCAGTCAGTGGCTAAATCGAAACGATGAACAATGAAAGCAATCCAGTGACATTGGGACCTCTAGAACCCGGTTACTTTTGATAGGACAGGTTTTAACCAACAAACTGAAAGAGGGTAGTACCTGAACCTCATGCAAGCCTAAACCTAAGGCCTTGTGTGCTTTGTGTGAATATTGTCTGCCTGTATATACACTTACTTGTTTGTGCATACATGTACATAACATCATAACATCATACCATAGCATTTTAGCATTTTCAATAACCATTTCAAGGATCTCGAGGGTTTCTTTTGGTGCAGGGATACGTTGAACCAGACATCTATCAAGGAGCAGAGGTCTCTCCTCTAACCAATCCAGTCAAAGTTCAAGTACAACAACTTGAATCAGTGGCTATGACCCACCCGACATGGTGAGCTTGATTCTCGTGGAAGGACGTCCACCGATGCAGAGATCTCCAATCCAGGAGCAGAGTTCAACCTCTAACATTTTCTTGTGTTTACCCCAAGAGATCCTTGAAAACATGCATCCACATATCATGCATTTCATTTTAACAATCTTTCCTTTTTCAGGTTTCCTTACTCTCCTGCTGTTTATTTCAGCAAGAGATGGCTCTAGAACGGTCTGTCAAAGACATCCAAGACCAGACTGCTCAGCTGCAGGAGATGTTCATGAACTTGTCTCTGGGGCAAGAAGAGATGAAAGCTCTCCTCACCAACGGCTTGGGGAATTCCAACAATGCCAGGAATGATCAGATTGCGGAGCTGCAGTTTGATCTGACAACACTGAGGACCCAAATGATGGGATATTTGGTGGGCCAGATGGCTCTCATCCAAGACCTATCTCAAAGACAAGAGGAACTCAGAGTTCTGGTCCGCCAACTGCTTCCAAACAAACAACTGGGGCAAACATCTGAGGTCGCAGAGCAAGTCACCGCTCAGCTTCCATCCACTCAAGAAGACAAGGGGAAAGCTCCTCTGCTAGCTTCAGGGTCACAAACCCATCAACAACCTCGCCAGCGTCAGCGGGGCAATCGGCGTAAGCAAGAAAAGTCGGGAAGACAGTTTACGGAGACTGAAATACCATCATTCTTCATACTGAAACGCCTGTTGGAGGTCAATTTGCTCACTGTAAAGGACCCTCCTCAGAAGCTCAATATCTCCTCTCCCCGCTTTAATCCCGACGAATTCTGTGTTTACCACTCCTGCAGCCCTGGGCACAGTACCAACGACTGTTGGGCCTTGAAGAACAAGATTCAAGATTTGATTGACATTGGGGTGCTGGAATTCATGCCAGACGGCGAGATGAGGATCTTCCGTTAAAGGGTTCTCCGCTTGAAGTGACGAAGCTCGAATTGAAAGACTTTTGCTTCTTTTTGAATTTTTCAAAGTTGTAATTTCTTTTACTGTCAAAACAATTATTTGTTGATGTTAAACTCTGTTTTCATTAATGCATTGCATGTGTTTGTCTTGAATTCATCCATTCGTTTCACTACTCTTATGCTTTTCTTTATGATATTTGACTCTTGATAAAAAGCTGCAAGCCTTTAGAGGGAGGATGACGAAACAATACCGTGATCTTATACAGTATGCTTTTGAACAGACCTCGCTGATGATGTACAGGCATTTCTTTCAATTCCCCAAACACTGGAGTTATAAGGAAGTTAATCCCTAGTCAACCCCTTCGAGCCAAAGAAGTAGGAGTTTCCTGTTCTAAACAATCAAGACCTTTGATATAAACCTGGGGCAGGGTAGTATCTCAGTTAATTCAAAAGAAAATGCGCATTGAAGTCGCAAACTCTCAGTTCGTAATACAACGAACGACGTCGAAAAAGAAAGCATTCCTTCGGAATCAAAAGACAGGGGTGGTTCCCTATCACATAGCCAGTCAATCTCTCAAAAGAGAAAAGCCCACTGAGCCAAAACCTATGAAGGAGGCTTAAGAAAGCTGGGGCATCCCGCTGACAG